ACTGGGGGGGGGGGGCCGGGCCGGCCCCGGGGCTGGGGGAGCCGGGCCAGGCAGCACTACCAGGCAGTGAGGCCTTGGCAGGACCCACCGGCAGCCTGGGGGGCTTGAGGAAAGCAGTGGCTGGGGGGGAGATGGCGTTGGCACATGTGTCAGTGGAGTCCGGGCACAGTGTCTGCCCCGTGTGCTGCAGGGAACCCCCAGCCCCCGGCAGGGCAGGGGGTGGGCTGTCAGCAGGCTCTGGCTGGCTGGCTGGGCTGGGCTCAGCCGGCTCCTCCAGGGGTGGCCAGTCGCCATCGACGCACATCTCCTTGAAGAAGGGCAGGCTCAGGTACTGGAGGATCCCGCTCTGGGCCGGGGGGCCAGCCAGCTGCTGGCTGCACCCAAGGCTGGGGGAGGCTGGGGAGCCGAGGGGCGGCGAGTCCCACAGGGCGCTGGCAGTGTTCTGGCAGAGCCTGGCGCTGCCAGGGTTGTCGCGCAGCTCCTCCACGGTACTGTAAGGCAGAGTCGCGGCAGAGGCCACAGGGCTGATGTTGATGATGCACAATGCTGCAGCCTCATCCACGGGGCTGCTGCTGCCGTAGCCAAAGTAGCGGCCCTGGCGGTAGCTGGCGGCTCGGGCTCCCTGGCGGGCCTGCCCTGTGGGCCGGGGGCGCAGCGAGACCCCCTTGCGCCAGATGGGCTCCTCCTCTGCGGGCAGCTGGAGGTAGGGCTCAGTCTGCGGCCCCGGGGAGTCCCGCTGGGGGTATGGCTCTGGCTCAGTGTAGGGCAGGGCCCCAAAGGCAGTCTCCTGCAGCCGTGTGTCAGTTTCCACCACAAAACGCCCATCAGGGCCACGGCAGATCCGCTCCAGGGGCACGTGCTCCCCAATGTGGCTCTCGTACACGGCATACCGGGAGCCAGCCCCGGCGATGCTGAGACCCAGGCTGGTGCCGGCCTTCTCGCCCCACAGCAGCGTCTGGCGCAAGCTCCGGTAGGGAGATGGCTGCAGCTTCAGCTTCACAGTGCTGTCTGGGCTACCAGAGCCACGAGAATTGCTGTAAGGAAGAAGAGAGCTGCTGCAGCATCCCCGTCCCAGCTCTGGGCTCATCTGGCTGCCCCCTATGCCGGGAGAGCTTGTGCCGGGCATCTGGTAGCAGGTACCATAGAATCATTGAGGTTGGAAAAGACCTCTAAGATCATCGAGTCCAACCGTCAACCCAACACTAAGTTGGACAACCATGCCCACTAAACCATGTCCCTAAGTGCCTCATCTACACGTCTTTTAAATACCTCCAGGGATGGGGACCATGACCCTACACTGCTACTGCAGGCTTGACAGACCTGCTCCTGTGCTTTCTGATCCTTTCTTTAGCCAAAACTCCCCAGAGGGAGCACCCTGGAAGAGCCCTACCCCATGGCAGACCCTGATCCCAGCACCCTGCTCCTAACGCCCCCTCTGTGACCAGCCCTTGGCCAATGATGGTGGGGGGGTGGCTGCCCCCTGGCCTGTCCCTCTGCCCCCAGCCAGTGGCGAGTGAATGATGGGGAGTGCAGCAAGACAGGGAGGGAGCAGGACAGGGAGGGAGCGTGGCATGGCATGACTTACTGTGGAGGTGGAAGCTTCTTGCTGGGGGAGAAGACGAGTGGTGGATCTGGAAGGTTATGAGAACACAAGGGGATCACACAGTGAGCAACTCAAAGTGATGATGAGGAGATGGCGGCGTCCACTACTACCATCCCTGGTAAGCCCCCCAGCCCCGGGCTGGCTTGTCCCCCTCCCTGGGGGGGGGACCCAGGGCACTGGGTCCTGCCACTCTGCACATGATGTATTGAGCTCTCTGGGAGCTCCAGGATCCAGGTGCCTGCACCCAGCCAGCTGGGTCCTACCTTGCCTTCGCTTCTGGATGCGGGCAGCACGCCGGCGGTTCATGATGCAGGCGGCCATGGTGCTGAAGATGACAGCCACGCTGAGGAAGCAGATCCCCCCGATGACCCCGGCCAGCACCGGCTGCGGCAGGAGCTCTGGCAGCTGAGTGCGAGACGGATACACCTCCATGCCTGGGCCAGACAAGAGGCATGGTTACCCGTGGAGCATGCCAGCACAGCGGGCACAGCCTCCCCCACATCGCCAGCACCACAAGGATAAACAGCAAAGTCTTGGCTCTCTCTCCCCTCGGGGCTGGTCTGCCTTCAGGCAGACCCATGCCCTCTGCCGTGCTGGGTGCCAGGAGCAAGGATGCTCTGTGCAGAGCTCTCCCGCTACCTGGTCCATGAGACCGAAGTCACACCAGATCCACAACTGGAGATGGCTCTGGACCCTGCATCCCCTGGTCTAGCAGCAGGGACACTTGAGGGCAGGAGCAGCATGAAGGGGTTTCTATTTGGGAAGATCCTAGACCACACCGGGCACTTTACACCTCTGGTTTCTGTCCCCAGGGCAGGAAGAGCAAGTGGGCGGCAGCCCAGGCCTTACCTGCTGTGGAGACGTTCACCGTATTGCTGGGATCACTGATGTAGCTGCCAGCAAAGGCCACCAGTCGAAACTCGTAGAAGGCGTCCTGGGGGAGCAGAGGGCCATTAGCCTTGTTGGCACGGCAGCCAGCCAAGCCTCAGCCCACATTGCCACAGAGCCACTTGGCTATGCGGCATCGCCAGATGCCCCAGCTCCAGGTACCAGCGATGCAGATCTGACCCCCTCCCTTGCTGCGTCCCCCCAGAGCCGCCCCGCAGAACACCTGGTGAGATTCCCACCTTGATGAGTCCTGGCACCAGGACCTGGGTCTTCGTGCTGGGGATAGAGCGGTCCAGCACCTCCCAGCCGCCCTTGTCCTGCCGCAGCTCCAGTGCGTAGCCGCTAAGTGCCACCGAGAACTGAGCCGGGGGGTCCCACTGCAGCAGGACCCCACGCAGAGTCTCATTGGCGGTCAGAGCCTGCGGCGGGGACAGGAAGACGCGCATGGTCATGGCTGGCGGCTCTGGAGGCACTGTGGTCACTGGGAAGCCTGAAGAGAAAGGGGATGCTGGTGTGGGAGCTGATATGAGGGGACAGCAGGGCAGAAACAGGAGCCTCCTAGGTGCTTGAGGGCTCTGGGGGGAACGGGGGCTGCTTTGGGGAGCACATGGGCCCCCTCTTACCCCTGGGCATGGAGGTGACAATCTGGCTGAAGGGGCCGCTGCCCAGCTTGTTCTGGGCCAGGACGCTGAACTGGTAGCTCATGTCTGGCTGCAGATTCTCCACCAAGAGGTGCTGAGCCCCCACCGGCACCGAGAGTGACACCCAGTCATGATGAGCCCGGGGCGGATGCTTCACCCTGAGGAGATGTGGGACCTGTGAGTCCAGAGCTGAGGGCCCCAGGTGGGACACCAGACCCTGCCCACAGCAGGGACTCACAGCGGTGTGTACCAGACGCTGAACCTCTGGAAATAGCCTCCATCAAACCCTGGCTCCCAGGAGACATTGGCTGCCAGCAGGAGCGGGAGCACAGAGACGTTGGTGACAGCATGAGGACTGGTACCTGGCAGGGGAAGCAGAGAGAAGACCTATCAGACCAGGCGGCTCAGACAACAGCTGTGCAGGAGCCTTTCCACCCCTTCCACCTGGTATCATCCACCCCAGGGCAGCCCAGCACCCATGGACAATGCAGGCCCACCAGGGACAGGCAACTCACCCAGCACGTGGACAGAAGTGGTGGTGCTGACGCTGGCTACCTGGTTGGTGGCCGTGCACTCCCAGACCCCATGCTGCTCCTTGATGAGCGGGCGGAAGATGAGGCTGCTGTTCCCATCCACCTGGGCGCCGCTCTTCCCCGCGCTGCCTACCTGCACGGTGAGGCACGGACACGCTGATGGTGGGCGACCACCCAGCCCGCCCCACCGCAGCACTGGTACAGTTGCTCTGCAGCAACCCTGCAAGACCAGGCCCTCGGGGAAAACGGGACTTGATGTGATCCACCACCCTGGGGCTAGTTTAGGAACTGAGGGGCAGGATTTTGCCCTGGTTTCTTAGAGGGCAACACAAGCAAAGTGCCCTGAGCCCCTTCTCCCGCAGGAACCAGGAGAGATGTGATCCTGCAGCATCTGCGGGGACATGGACACAGGGACTGCCCTAGAGTGATGCCCCAGAGGCCAAAAGCAGCATCTGCCCCCGAGGAGGGCTCAGCTGGTTCCCCAGAGTGGCAGCTCCTACCTTCAGCCAGGTGACAGTTGGGGGGGGATCCCCATGGGCCACACAGGGGATCACCAGCTCCCGGCCCACCTCCTGGAAGTATTCCCCCTTGGGGCGCACTGTGAAGGCGGGGGGGTCCTGGAAGACAGGCATATACAGTGCGGGGCTTGGCAGCAGGCGGGACAGGGTGCAGACCTGCAGCAGGGCAGGCCAACAGGCACGGAGCGCACCCGGGCTGCTTGACACAGCAGGGTGGGAGCAGCTTGGGCAAGGGACTCGGGTAGTGTGCCCACCTGCCCAGCCTCACCTTCAGCAGAACACGTGTGGGCTGGGACTCGCCAGCGGTGCCGTAGCTGTTGTATGGGGTACACGTGTACACTCCCAGAGCATCGTCGTTCCCCGTTGCAATGACAATGGAGCCATCCGGTCTCACAGACCAGCCAGGGAGCTGGGAGAGGCAGGCATGGGGTCAGGACAAGAGGCTCGTGGGGGTGGGAAGGCAGGGGAGGGCGCAAGCAGCGGTACCTTGTCCAGCTCCAGCGGGCGCCCGTCCCTCGTCCAGCTGACGGAGAGCAGAGGAGGGTTGGCCCTGGTGGAGCAGTGGATCACACCCTGCATCCCCTTGGGCAGGTGGGTCTCTGGGAGCATGGTGGTCACCTGCGCCGGATCTGTGAGGACAAACAGGGTGCTGGGGCCTGCGTGAGGGCAGCAGGGGGCTGGGGTCTCCACGGCAGCTGAAGGGGTACCCCTTCCTACCATGGCCTGCAGGGACCCCCCTGGGCTGGCCCAGCAGAACCTTTCTGTGAGCGGAGCCACTGACAGCGTGGCCTGGGCTTGCGAGAGGCTGCAGGGCTCTTACACAGCACTGTGACGAAGGCCGAGGCAGAAGGTGGCTTCCACAGCCCGTTGCTGGGGATGCAGGTGTATTTGCCGGCGTCATCTGGGGTTGTTCGCTGGAGCAAGAGACTCCCATCCACCAGGACACGGACCCGAGTCTGGAGGTGGCTGCAAGGGAAGGGGAGAGCAGTGGTGAGCAGCGTGGCTGGGACCACCCCCAGTGCCCCAGGATGAGTGAACGCCCCCCGCCATGCACCCAGCCAGCCCACTGCGCTCAGATCCAGGCTTCGCGGGGCCACAGCAGCCTGCTGGCCCCAGCACTGCTGGCAGGAGCCCACAGCTGCCTCGGTACCATCCCTGTCCCCACCATACCTGAGGTGGAAAACGTTGCTGCTGCCCTGGAACCAGGTGTAGGTGAGGTTTCCCGGGTATGCCTCGGCCTGGCACGCCAGAAAGGCATCCTGAGAGACGTTGACAGTGACGTTCTGGGGTGGCACCACGATGATGGGTGGCCCTGCAGTGTGGGGCAGAGGGGACGGTGAGGGCTGGGGACAGAGAACGGCCTCAGCTGCTCCCAAAGCCCATCATTCCTGCGCCTGCCCCAAAACCAACCCCTGCGATGTGGCTCCTCTGTGCCCTGCGGCGGCACCCAGTGGGGTGGCCCATGCAGCCAGGGCTGGGAGAGCACTCGCTCTTACCCTGCACAAGCACACGGGTGGTGTGGGTGATGGTGCCCTCCTCACTGGAAGCATGGCAGGTGTAAGTGCCTGCACTGGCACGCTCCACGGCAGCGATGCTCAGTGTCCCGTTCTTCACCTGCAACGGCACCAGGCACGTGGCATGGCCACCAAGGGACAGGACACTCTCAGGAATGTGGCGCTGTAGGCAGGGCCGGTGGCAGGAGGGGGGTGCCACCGTGGTGGGGACAGGCACCCGCTCTCCAGCCAAGCAGAGTTGCATTGGGCTGCCCCGCGAGACCCTTGCTGAGGTGGGGGGACACATCATGGGCTGGGGGGGGGCAGTAACGAGTGGCTTGCTGTCCTCACCTGCACTGTTTCCCCACTCTGGACAGCCAGGTCGCTCCTCTTCCAGATGACAACAGGCTGGGGGTTGCCGACAGCCGTGCAGGTAAGGCTCAGCGTGTCCCGGTCCCGCACCTCCACAAATGCAGGGGGGGTCTCCAGGAAGGTGGGGGGTGCTGTAAAGACAAGTCCAGACCCTCACTCCCAGGTGCGGCTCAGCTGGTCTTGGAAGACCAGTGGACCCAGTCCCAGCCCTGAGAGATCTTGGCTGGTGCTGAGCAGAGCAGCGACTGAGGGTGGGATCAGCCCGTACCATTGACGGTGAGGTGGATCCAGGTGCCGTTCTGGAAGTCAGCGTCAGTGCTGTGCCGGTCGAGGAAGAGCACGCGGCACTCGTACCAGCCTTGGTCCTCAGCACGCAGGAGGTTGATGCGCAGCGAGGCGCCTTCCTCAATCCGCACACGACCTGCACACCCAGAAGCAGCCGTCATGGCCAGCGCTGCTGGCTTAGGGGCAGCTGCATCCCTGGGCCACCTGCCTCCCCGGGGCACCCGCCCACGCAGCACTTGCCCCTGCCACAGGCTCAGCAGCTTCCCTGGGGAATGGGGCTGACTGGCCCACTTGGCAATGGCAGGGTCTGCCCGTGTGGCCAGGCCGTGCTGGGCTGCTTCTGCCTTGGCTGGCACCGCAGGGGGCTGGGAACGGCTGCGGGACAAAAGCCAGGGCAAGCCATGCTGCGTTGGAGGTTGGTCACACCGACATTTAGCACTACACCTCTTGCTGTTGTCGGGGGAACAGGGGATGACATGGTGGTGGGCTCTGCCACCCACCCCTGCATAGGGTGGCCTCAGCAGGGACCCCCCAGCCCAGGCAAGGTGTGTCCCTGCGCCCTGAGCATTGCTCCCAGCAGCTAGGCAAGAGAGCTGGTCCCACCGTGCCCTCCGCCTCCCCCTTGAACTGCCAGACTGCCTGCAAAATCCCTCCCCGCACCCTTCCCCCTTGCCTTTCAGGGACTGTTCCCCCACAGCCTTGGCCACCCTTTCCCCGGGGAGCCCCCCCAGCTGTCTCACCCTTAGGAGCCCTGATAACACTGTTCTGTCTCCCTGCGGCACGGGGTGGGGTCGGGCCAAACCCCTCGCCTGCCTCGCAGGGACGAGCACTACAGACCCCTCGAGGGGCACGGCGGTGGGGGGCTCTCTCGGGTTGTGGGGCCCTCACCCCGAGCAGGCAGCAGCCCCGCACCCCATGGCCTCTTGGATGAAGAGGAGGAGAAGGGCGCAAAGCGACAGCGAGCACAGCCCTTTAATCCCCTGGGCTATTATCAGAGCCATAATCGGCTCAGGCGTGCAGCAGGCAATTGGCTCAGCCCTGGCCGGGGTGCACAGCCAGCAGCACCCACTGCCCCGGCACCCCCGGGGCTACACACCCCCAACCCTGCTGCAGGCACCCACAGACCAGAGAGCTGCTCCAGGCTGGGGACGAGGGTTTAGCCCCAGGCATGCCATTGCCCAGGGTGGCCTCGCTCTCAGCACGCCGCAGCAGGGACACAGCCACGGTGGTGGCAGCACTGCACACAGCTCTTGGCACCGGAGCAGCCCACAACACTCCTGTCAACATCCCAGAGCTCCCCGGGACCAGCATCTTCCTGAAGTATTTCCAACAAAGCAAGTTTTGCCAAACATTTCCCCCCCTCCGCCCCATCAGCTCTACCAATGAGCTCTGTGTCACAGGTGGTTCCCATGCACTGCCCCAGCCACCAGAGCCCAGGCCGGGCACTGAGCATGTGCTACCAGCAGCGGGAGGCTGCATCCCATCAGACGAGCCTGGCGAGGAGGAGGAGGAGGAGCGGTGGGACCCGGGCAGGCTGGTTTGGGCACAGAGGTTAGGTGGTTGAGGGACAGGATTGGACACTAAATGCTGGGGCCATGCAGCCCTGTGTGAACCCAGCACACAAACACGTGCAACCCCTTCCTAACAGCACCCGGAGCTTCTTCCAGCTGCTGCAGCCACCCGCCACATCTCCCACCCCTCCTGCCTCTCCCCATGGCCAGCTCCAACACAGATCCACGGCATCTTCTATGGCAGGAGATGCCGGGGACAGATGGACATATCTGGATGCCTAGGGCCAGCATCCCTCACTCAGAGGGCAAAGCAACACCCCAGGCAAACCTTGGACACAAGGGGGATGGCAGGAGCAGGGAGAGGGATGGGAGCCACGCGTGGGTAAAACACCCATAGGATGAGGGGTCCTCCCACCCCTCACCCCAGAGCCAGCTCCCATGCCGAGCCCCAGGAAGCAGGGCAGCTCTGGAAAACCCCATCCCTGCCTGCAGCTGCCAGCTCACAGTCCCAGGAGCCAGGCGGGAACAGCAGGCTCCTGAACAAAGGTCCCTTTGGAAGGGATCAGAGTGCCCCGGGGACACCCCCCAGCCTCTCCCTAATCCCCTGTGCTGGCCCCAGCCCCCTCCTCCTCCTCTTCCACCACCCAGCCGATAACAAAACCGCCGCTGCCCTCCAGACCAGCATCCCCCAGTGCCTGGCAACCGCCATTCAGAGGGACACAAAGGGGGCTGCAGCCCCAGCCGCTGTGCTTGCTGCTGGCAATCGAGTGCCTAAGGCAGCCAGACCAGGGACCACCGGCCCTGCTCCAGGCCAGCCAACAGCAGGGGACAGTGGCACCTCGGGGAGAGCCGACCCCATTCGCCCAAGCGAGCCAAGGGCTCTCATGGAGGTGGCTGCAGCCCACTGTGCCCCCAGGATACCCCAAATTGCCCCATGAGGAGCATGGGTGACAGCAGGGTCTCCCTGGCCCCTGTGGGTGACACCTGATCTACTCTGCCTGCCTTCCCAGCCCCCCCAGAGGATTGAAAACAAGCCGCCCGGCTGCCATGGTGACAGCCACCAGCCCCCCTGCCCACCCAGCTCGCCCTCATTACTGCCACCAGACCCCTTCCCGCAGCACATCCCCCCCCAGCGCTGATCCCAGAGCAGCCCAACCTGCTCCCACAGCCCCCCAGGGCCTTGCTGGCAGCAGGGACAAGCGGGAGGGCTGAGGGCAGTGCAGGCAGGATGCTGCCAGGCCCTTTCTAGGTAACCCGAGCTCCTGTAGCTGAGGGGCCCTGCGATGCCCGGCTCAGGTAACAGGAGCCCAGCCTGGGCCTCCCGGGAAAGCAGGTGCCTCGTCATCACCAGAGGGTTTGTTGTCACTGTGGGTCCCACTGAGCCAGGTCGGGGCTGGCTGCAGAGCAAAGGTGTCCCCAGGCACAGGCCAGCAGCGGAGAGAGGCCGAGGCGTGCCCCGAAATTGGTCTTCTACGCAGCCCAGGAAGAGGCAGCACTGCTCTGCCCACGGCCAGGCAGGAGCAGTTGGCTCAAACCTCAGCTTGCTGCACATTTTTTAGGCAAGGGCTGGTTTCAGCAGCGGTGGCAAGCTCCTGACCTAGGCACAGGCTGGTGCTCCAGCCCTCCCCATCTCATCCCATCCCATCTGGTGGGAGGATTTTGGTGCATCGCTGCCACAGGCTGTGGGGGCCATGCTCAGCCCAAAACGCCGGCCAGCTGCCAGCCCTTCCCCTCCTCCCCAGCCATCCCCGTCCTCAAGGGACACTACTGTTGTCTTCACCCCTATGCTCGCAGGGATCCCTCAAGGTCTACCACTGCTTCACTTTATGGGATATTTGAAGAGGAGAATATCCCCCTCCCATGCTGCAGCCCTTCCCCAGTGCAGCTTTGCTCCAAATCCCAGCCAGCCCAGCACCGCCAATTGGCAGCTTTGCCAAAATCCCCTCCCCAGGCTCAATCTTCAAGTGACCCGCATGGGCTGAGGCGGCGGCGTGGCAGCGCCTGGGTGCCCGAGGCCTCTGGCACAGAGCATCCTGGTGTCACCGGCCCCGGTCCAGCACAGCAGGCAGGATGGGAGAGCCAGGGCAGCGTGGCAGGCATTGCCACAGTGCTGCAGCCCGGGCACAGGCAGGTGGGCACTCAGTCATCCCCACTCCCAAGTGGGTAGTGCTGGGGAGGCCTCAGCAGCCAGAGGCCATGGTGATGGGAGTAGTGGCTGGCGTGCCAGGAACCTCCTGCCTGAGAAGCTTCTCCCACCCTCTGTCCAGGTGAGGATCCCTCCCGCTGCTGAGCTGGGCCGGGGGCTGTGCCTCCCCTGTGAGCTGGGTGTCTACATCCCTTCTGCTTCCTACTCCAGCCATTCCTGGAGCTGCTGCACAAGGATGGGACTCTGCCCTGCTGCGGGGACCTCCCCAGCCCCATAATGTCCTCTCCTGCCGCCTGGGGCCAGAGGGAGAGCCCTGCACTTCCCCACCACCCCGGGAGCGTGATTAATGTGGTCTGACAGCAGCAGCCCACGGCTGGGGCCCAGCCAAGGAGAGCGGAGACGCAGGACACCAGAGCCAGCCCGGTCAGCCTCACGTACTGCCCCAGGCCCATCCCAGCCCGGAGGGGGGGGCCAGGAGGGCCCCCCAGGACCCCATAACCGCCCACCGCCACGGCGCCACGGCTACGGGACTTACCGATGTACTCCGGGTCCACCCGCGGCGAGTAAAGCCCGAACTTGATGAAGATGGGGAGGACAAAGCCGAAGCGGACCCACTCGATCACAGGCCCCCCCAGCACCCCATCCCCCCCCCCCGCCACGGCGCCACGGCTACGGGACTTACCGATGTACTCCGGGTCCACCCGCGGCGAGTAAAGCCCGAACTTGATGAAGATGGGGAGGACAAAGCCGAAGCGGACCCACTCGATCACATAGAGAGGGGGACGGGCCTCGTGGGCATCCAGGAGGTCGCAGCCCAGCACTGTGCTCTCCCCGACTCGCCCCACCACAGCCTGGGACTC